AAAAATACAAAATACAAAATCCTTAATACTTCTCCATTAACTTAACTACAAAACTCACCAGATTCCTTAACAGTCCTGTGCTGATATCCCCTCCATACAACTAGATATTAATACCTCCCTATAACTTCCTGAGACTCAATATATTTTCTTCCCTAGAACTGTCACATACAGCCCTTTTCTATTATACAACAAAATTATTTTTACATGTAGATTTATTAAAAATTTTAAACCCATAAATTATCTTTTTGTTTTTCATGAATAAATAGGATTTGTTTTTTATACATTTAGGGTAATGTTTATTGTCTTTGCTACTTGTGACCTTTTTAGAATTATTTCTTCTAACAAAATAAATTTATGTAAATGTGGAATTTTCCAAGTTAGTTGAAAAATGTTATATCAGGTTTTTAGAAAGTCCCACGCACACCATGTCTATAGTGCATTGTCTCTATCTTTCAGATCATAGAACGGCCTTCACTCGTCTTCGTTATTGTATACTTACTATAGTGTTTTTCATGCTTGGATTTGTAATACTGATAATTTATTCAGGTAAGATGTAGACCAAGGAATCAGGACTTAATTCCCAAACTATTTTTGTAACTCGTCAGTACAGTATAAGTTTTTTTTTATAGATGTAAACAATATCGTTTATTGTTGAGATAAAACATACAAAACTAGGAATGTCTTAATTTTTTGGGGATTTTTCACAGTATTGGAGGGAAGAATTATTATTATAATTTATATAGAGTCAACATATTTTCCAGCATCTTACAATTATAAGATAATTTTTTTTTGCCTGTTTTTACTATTTTAAACATGTAACATATATAAATAAAACCATTTATGCATTTACGAGTAACATGACCATTTCTGGTTTTATTTCAGTTTGGTGTGTTCAGTCTATCAGGTAAGTGACACACTGCAAATCAATGCCCATAAGCCAATTATTTTTCTAAAATGTTTGTTATAAAATATTTTTCTCTATTGGGAAGCTTGTTTTCCTTTTGACTATATAAAGTTACAGTTTTTGTTAATACCTATTGTTAAATTGATTTTTTATTTTTTGTGAAATAGTTTTAATTGTTTGACAATGTTACATTATTATGCCCAACTGATGTTTGTATTATGTATGTTTCAATAATACAGAAACATTCCATATCAAATATACAGACCTGGCTGTTGGAATGGGCAAATGAGGCTCTAGAGAACCTCTTATACCTACAACTTTGGTTGCCAGGCAGAACAGTAACAATTGGTAGCCCAGCAACCAGAGAAGGCAATGCAGATTTTCACCCCAACAGCTGCCTGCTCCCCCTGTACTTTACCAGTAGAGATGCCCACTCTTCCATTCATGCACATAGATGCCCAATATTGGGTGATACAGTACTCGTATTGTTTAAGGACCTGCTATCTCCTGTTGTCCTTTTTTACATCACTAGATGTGTCTGTATGCTGGCCATTGAAATGGCAGATGCTCATACCCACATGGTGCCAGGCCTGGAGTACAATGCCATTTCCTGCTCTCTCTTTTTTCACTTAGCTGAGCAGGGTAGATCTGTTAGAGGCATTAACAGCCCTTTTTCTTTCTTTTTTTTTTTTTTTAGAAAATAGGATGAGGATTAAAACTGTGGAATGGGGAGTATATATTTCATAAAATGATGAGGTATTGTAGGTTGAATATGGGGATTAATTGGCTCCTATTTGCTGGATACTGTGGCATCTTATGCCCAGTCCTCAAGTACCCCCTACCAGTTCAGGATTTAGGGATTACCCTGTTGTGTCTAAGGTGTTTTCAGAAAGAAAGAAAATACACATTAGACACAACAGTGTAATTCCAAAATCCTGGCCTGGTACGGGGTACTTGAGGACTGGGTTAGGAACAGGGCCGGACTGGCCCACGGGGATACCGGGAAATTTCACAATGGGCTGTCGGCACCTGGGGCAGGGGCAGACAGCTGGGTGTGCTGGCGGCCGCAGGGGGAGCTATGCTGGCGGCTGCAGGGGGAGCTGTCTGTGTTGGCGGCCGCAGGGGGAGCTGGCTGTGCTGTCTCTGCTCCCCCGCCCTCACGTGCTACTTAATGAGACTGGGGCCAGAATATGACGTCATAGTCCGGTCCAGGTCTCATTAAGCTGAGCGCTGGGGAGCAGAGACAGCACAGCCAGCTCCCCCTGCGGCCGCCAACA